ATCTATGTTCAAATTGGTTTTCCAAAAATGTAAAAGTAACTGTACTAGTTTCCCATGACTGCTGTAACAAATTACCACAAATTTGGTGGCTCAACACAACTGAATCTATTCTCTTCCAGTTTTGGAGGCCAGTATCACAGGGCTGATATCAAGGTGTTGGCTGGGCTGCGTGCCCTCCAGAAGCTCTAGGAGAGAAGCTATTTCTTGCCCCTTCAGCTTGTGGTGGCTGCCAGCATTCCTTGAGTTGTGGCCACATCATCCCAATTTCTGCCTCAGTGGTTACATTGCCTTCTCTTTTTCTCTGTGTGTGTGTGTGTGTCTGTATGTAATCTTTCTTTTGTGAGGACTCTTGTGATTGTATTTAGGATCACCCAGATACTACAGGATAATCTCTCTGTCTCAAGATCCTTAACATAACACATGTGCAAAGACCTTTTTCCCTTGTAGGGTGACATTTACAGCTTCTCCAGCTTCCAGGGATTGGGGCCTGATATTTTTTGTGGGGGGAGAGGCATTCTTTTGCCTACAACTGTAACTATTAACAAAATAGAAGTTTCAAATCACCAGAGGGAGAAAAAAAGGCAAGGATACTAAACCAACATAGTAAATGACTCTTTTTAAACAGCAAGAAAGCATGAAATAAATAAAAAGTTAAGGAAAACCAAATAGTGTATCCATTTTTACCGTAAATAAAAATAGCTTGAATTCTACTATAAAATGAAAAAGATCCTCAGAATGGATCAAAAAACCACCTCCACGTATAAGCTATTAATGAAAGGCCCAATTAAAACAAAATAATAAAAAGAAGTTAAAAATAAACTTATGGGTAAAGATAAAACAAAGAAAGAAAAGGTGGTATTATCTGTATCAAAGTAGAATTCTAGACAAAAATCATTAAATGGAAGAAAAAATCATTTTATATTGATTAAAGGTAAAATTCACAACAAAAATATATTTAATAACATCTGTATGCCAAATTACATACCTTTAAAATATATAAATGATTGTCAGATACAAAGTGAACCACTTGGGAGAATATCCAACACACCTCCATTTGTCGGTTTTTTTTTTTTTTTAGCTGAAGATTTGCCCTGAGCTAACACCTATTGCCTATCTTCCTCTTTTTGTATGTGAACCGCCATCACAGCATGGCCACTAATGGATGAGTGGAGTAGGTGTACACCCAGGAACGGAACCCAGGCTGCTGAAGTGGAGCACACTGAACTTAACCAGTAGGCCACTGGGTCTGGCCCCTCCATCTGTTTTTATCGATGAATTAGACAAAAATTAATCAAGGAAATGGAGAAATTGAAAAAGCAAGTATAATTACAAAGATATGCAGAAAAATTTTTTAATTATCTCTGCCAGAGGACATTTCAATTTTTCTACACGTATAAGAAAGAGCAAATCAGAATGGTCTGTGTCTAATAAGAAAACAGCAGATAGAATGGTGGACTAATTAACACAAATCTGATGAATTATTTACAGCTTAAGTGAGCAAATTCAATTTCTTACGATAAATATCTTCACTGGTGTTCTGGTAAATGTTGTGCAACCAGCTCTCCAAAGGAAGAAAAGGGCTCTAATTTGCAGTATTTACCCATTTCTGTGCTGTAAATACTCCCACCATGGCAGATTTCAAGCGAATAATGTGAAATCCTTGAAGGCAAGGTTGGGACGACATGTACCCAATGGGCTCTGACAAGCCCGTATGAATTGGCTGTAGCATGTGACGGATGCATTTAATGTCTTAGATTAACAAGCACATTTTCTTTTAATGAACAAGTTAATGAGCTTTCTGGTCACTCATGCCTCGTGGATAAACAGTGCCTTCTTGGGAGACATAACTAAAACTTTATAGGTAAACAGTTGAGTATCAAATAATTCACTTGCCCTTATCATTAAACATTTAAACAAGAACTGATAATGCTAACAAGAAACAGAGCATATATAGATTTAAGCTTACTGCTCCGCCTGGCTAATCTCCAATGGTGTTTCTTATTTGTTATGTTTGTGGCCACTAGAATATAAACAAATGTAAAAAGAATAATTTCATCTAGCACTTAAGCACTTATCTCTACAGATTATTCTCTTTTCAAAGTTTCTCCTCAGACAAAATTATAACCTAAAGCCCATCATTTTTTGTTTACACACACACATACACACGTAAAGATTTAAACCCTCCTCAGTATACATTTCCTTTGAATATTAATTGTTGGTCAATATGCAATTTAACAATCACAAATGGTAAAAAAAAATTGAGAGAGGACGTGATGAGATTGAACTTAAAATATATAGAGATATAACTATAAATATATAAACTATTGCTTATTAGTTTTGTGGTGGGTTAGTATCGATCCAGGGGAAGAAGAGAAGGACAGAAGTGGATGACTTTTCTGGGAAGAGAAGAAATTTAGACTCATGTAACAGATGGGAAAATGATGGGTACTACTGATCAGAGAAAAAAATGTTTTTGGTTAATGATAAGTATATAAATGTATTTTCTTAGAGTTCATAAGCACATAATTATGTACTTATGTATGCTTGGGCATATTATATATTATGTGGTAATAGAAACAGAATGTACTAAATTACTGGATTTATGAGAACATGTCTTGGTCAATTAGATGTATGAAGATACTGGCAGGATAAGGAGGAGGCAGCTGCTTGTTTATAATCCTGCAACCACAAAAATGAGACACAGTTTGAGTTCATCAGATTGGAACAAAGGGTACAGCTAAGACTTATAACTATTTAGACACCATTTCTAGTTGTCCTAACAATTTAGTTAAGATTAGGTTCAACTGAAAACCCAAACTAACAGTCACTTAAGGTAGAAACAAGTACTTCTTTCTTGTAGAGCTCTGGACAGGTGGTCCAGGGCCAGGCATTCCATCGTGAAAGAGACCTGAGCTCCTTCTGCTTCCTCCTCTGTGTGTGGCCTTAGTTTGTGGTCCCAAGTGGTAGTAACTCGTTCCAAGCTATCAAATAGAGGAAGAAGTAAAGGGAGACAAAGCATGTTTAGGAGCTGTCTCTTAAGGAAGGTTCCCGGAAGGTACCATACTATATTTCCTCCTAAATCCTATTGACCACATGACTAAACTTAGCAGAAACTGAGGCTCAGAAATATTCTATTTGTTCCTGAGTGCCATGGACTCAGCCAAATATTTTATTATTGTGGAAGGAGAGAGGGCATACTGAGGGACACCTGGGGTACTGACGAACGCTGCCTTTGGAAAATCTACTACAGCTGATTAAGGGGCGCTTCCCATGTTACACACGAAAATGAAAAAAGGCATGTATGAATCATATAAGTGCTAATTAATGGCAGAGCAATATGTGATGTTTTGAGACTCACTGCGACAGAGGATTTTAGTGAAATGTGGGAGCAGGTCAGATGAGATGGGGAGGGCTAGACTTCAAGTAATGGGGACATTTTGGGTCAGCTTGCTCAAGAGCATCCTGGGCAAGTTACCTGCCTGTTAATCAGTGCAGTGCTATTCAAAGTGCAGTAGCAGCAGGGTCACCTGAAAGTTTGTCAGAAATGCACATTTTAGGCCCCACCCCAGATCTAAAGAATCAGAATTTCTGGAGGGGGTGGGGAGGGGAAGAGTGGGCACAGGAATCTATGTTCCAATAAGCACTCCAGATGATTTTTAAGTGCTAAAAGAAGTGTTATATTAGTAGATGGACTTGAACAATGGAACTAAACCAAGTGTTTTTTAATCCAACTTGCTTCCGTGATCTTGTCACTATCTTTACATGAAAGAAAACATTAGATGGAGCTGGACATAGACATTAGCATTAGTAAAATAAAAATGGAGTATTTATATATTAGAGAAAATGAGAATAAATCCTCTCCACACTTCCATGTATAGTAGTATTTTAAATATGAATATATATATATTCATATGAATATATATATGACTATTAACTGGTATTATGCTTGATGTGGAAAAATTAGACACATTCAATGCAATTAGTTGTTACCATTATTTAATATTGTCTTGTCAGAGTTAACCAAGGCAATTGATCCCCAAATGAAAATAAATATGATAAATTTTGGAAAGGATGGTACAAATTTATCATTATTTATAGATATGATTGTCTTTTTAGAGAAATAAACTTACTTGAAAGTGTCGTGTGAAAACCTAGCACTATAAATATACCAGTTTTCCATAGCCTAATTTAGTTAATTAATGATATTAAACTAACACCTCAAAATAATTTTTAGAAAAAATAAAATAAAACTATCCTAACGTTCAACTATGAGCAAAAATGGCTATGAAAATTCTGAAAAACAAAATTGGGATGTTGGTTTACTGCATATTATTTGCACAAAGAAGAGAAAGAAATGAAAATATTGCAGTAGTCACACCAGAATAGGAGGGTGAAACAAAGAACAAAATGGAAAATATGGAATTATACATATAAAATAACTTAGTATATGGTAAAAGGAGAACTTCAAGCTACTGGACAATGAAGGACCTAGTCAATAAATGAGTATCATACTCCTGAAATTATTCATATGCTTTGACCCAGAGATATGTGTTTGAATGGGTATCCCAAGTATTTACATATATATGTTTTTAGTACATGACAATGGTGGCAATTTATAGTGAGAAAAGGTATAATTTACTGAATTAATGGCACTGGGATGATTGATCATATGGGAAAAATAAAATTATATTCCTACCTCCTATCAAACAAAATAGTATATTCTAGAAAGATTAGAACATTAAAATGCTTAATGGATGGAAATCAAATTAAAACAAGATCCTTTCTTAAATTTATCAGATAGACTGTTTGAAATCACACTATGTTGGTGAAGGTGTAGGGAAACAAGCACTCTTAAATCACTTGTGGGTCTCTAAATTGGTAAAAGCCCTTTAGAGGACTGCTTGGCAATATCCACGAAGATTAAAAATATTCATTCTCTTTGACTCACTGTATCAGGCAATGTTCTCCAGAGAGACAGACCCAATAGAACATATGCGTAAAGTTTTATTTTAAGGAATTGGTGCACATGATTGTGGGCTCTGACAAGTCCAAAATATGTAGAACACGCCAGTAGGGTAGAAACTCAGGCAGAAGTTAATGCTGCAGTGTTGAGGCAGAATTCCTCCTTTTCTGGAAAGCTTCAGTTTTTTCTCTTAAGGCCTTCAACTGATTGGATGAGGCCTGTCAACATTATCAAAGGTAATATTTACTTAAAGTCAACTGATTGTAGGTATTAACCACATCAACAAAATATCTTCACAGCACCATCTAGATTAGTGTTTGATCAAATAACTGGGTACTGTAGCCTAGCCAGGTGATACATAAAGCTAACCATCATACTCACCGATCTCACTTCTAAGAGTTTGCTCTAAAGATATACTTGTGGGGCTGGCCCAGTGGCCGAGTAGTTAAGTTCGCGCGCTCCACTGCAGGCTGCCCAGTGTTTCGTTGGTTTGAATCCTGGGCGCGGACATGGCACTGCTCATCAAACCACGCTGAGGCAGCGTCCCACATGCCACAACTAGAAGGACCCACAACGAAGAATATACAACTATGTACTGGGGGGTTTTGGGAAGAAAAAGGGAAAAAATAAAATCTTTAAAAAAAAATAAAAAAATAAAGATATACTTGCACATGTAAAATTGTACATATACACACATATATATGGAAAACCACTGCAGCATTTTTGTGTGTGTGTGTGTGTGTGTGAGGAGGATTGGCCCTGAGCTAACATCTGTTGCCAATCTCCCTTTTTTTGCTTGAGGAAGATGGTCACTGAGATGACATCCTCCCCAATTTTCCTCTACTTTGTATATGGGACACTTCCACAGAACTTGCGAACCCTGGGCTGCTGAAGTGGAGCATGTGAACTTAACCACTATGCTACCAGGCCAGCCCCATCGCATCATTTTTTATAATCAGAGAAGACTAAGAAAAAGCTAAATGTACAGAAACAGAGAACTGGTTAAATATTATACATACTGAGATGAAATATCTGAAATATTGTTAGGTTTAGAAAACAAGATGCCATTTTGTGTGAAAATATGTTTAAAAAGAATTCATACTCATACATGCCATAGTTTGCATAGGCTTTCTCTGGAAGAATAGACAAGAAACCACATAGTAGGAGAAAGGCTAGGCCAGAGACTTAGCTTTCCTAGTATAACCTTCAGCACCTTTCAAATTTTGAACTAGATTACTATGTTAATCATTCCAAAAATTAAATAGTTAAAAAGCAAACTGGTTATATATCCCCAGAATGGCTAAAATTTAAAAGACTAACAGCACCAAATGCTAACGAAGATGTGGAGTGGCCATAATTCTCCCACACTGTTGGTGGGACTGTGAAATGGAAAACCACCTTGGAAAAAGTTCTGGTGGTTTCTTATAAAACTAAATCTATACCTGCCCAATAGTCTAATAATTTCGTGCCTAGGTGTTCACCTAAGAGAAATGATAGTATATGTCTACAAAAAAAGACAATGTACAGCGTTCATAACAGCTTTGTTCTCAATAGCTGAAAACTGGAAACAGCCCAGATGTTCATCAACAAAAGAATGGCTAAATCTACCACGATAAATTCATACAATGGAATACTGCTCAGTAAGAAAATGGAAGAAACTGCTTGCTGTAGACAGAATGTTTGTGTCCCCTCAAAGTTCACATGTTGGACTATATCTCCCAATGTGATGGTATTTGGAGGTGGGACCTTTGAGATATGATTAGGTTATGAAAACAGAGTCCTCATGAGTGGAATTAGTGCCCTCATAAAAGAGACCTCAGAGAGCTCCCTCTCTCCTTCCACCATGTGAGGACACAGCAAGAAGAGGGCCATCTATGAGCCAGGAAGTGGGCTCTCACCAGACACCAAATCTGCCAGTGCCTTGATCTTAGACTTTCCATCCTCCAGAACTGTGAGAAATAAACTTCTGTTGTCTATAAGCCACCAAGTGTATGGTATTTTTGTTATAGAAGCCCAAACAGACTAAGACACTGCTTAGAGATGTGACAGTATGGATAAATTTAAAGGATGTTATGCTGATTGAAAAAAGTTTTAAACCAAACACTACATGTGATATCATTCCACTTGTCTAAAGTTCTAGAAAAGGCAACACTAATCTATGGTGGAAAAAACTAGAACAGTGGTTGCCTCTGAAGGGTAAGAGTGAGTACTGACTGAAAAAAGAATGAAGGAACTTTCTGGGGTTGATGGCAATGTTTTATATCTTGATAGGAGTTTGGGTTACACTGGTCAAAGCTTATAGAACGGTACACTTAAGATTTGGGTATTTCGCTGTATATAAATTTTACTTTAAAAAATAATCTTAAACAAATATTGAACTCTAGTTAATGATATGCATGCATAGTTAAGGTATAGTAAATATATATTAAATATAATAAATAGTAAATATATTTTCACTTATGGAGATAGGAAGGTTTGTGTAAATATACAGTATTGCCTATGGTTCATGTTACACATGATTAATGGGAATGTTATTGTGTAAATAATGTTTATGTTATTATTCATAAATCTAATTAATTGGAATTGATTTTTTAAATTGACAATATTATAAAGTTAATTATTATACACATATAAGGTGAAATACTAAGAAAACATTTAAAAAATTGTAGAATATCAATTGTATGGAGACACTATCATAAAATGTTTGAAAATGAAAATTTTATTTAAGAGAGAATAACTCAAGAGCCAGCCCCAGTGGCCTAGTGGTTAAGTTTGGCACACTCTGGTTTGGTGGCCCAGGTTCAGTTCCCAGGCCAGGACCTATACCACTCATCTGTCAGTGGCCATGCTGTGGTGGTGGCTCACAAACAAAAAGAGGAAGATTGGAACAGGTGTTAGCTCAGGGTGAATCTTCCTCAGCAAAAAAAAAAGAGAGAGAGAGAATAACTCAAATTATATAAATTTTTGTGTCAATATTTACAAAGTGGACTGGGAAGATAACACTAAAATTTTATCAGGTGTTATCATATACTGTTGTTTTCCTTTTCCTGCATTTCAGCATTTTTAAAATTTTCTACAGTTAATATACTAATTTTGAATAGAAAAAAAGAGTAAATGCTATTATTGGAAGGAAGTAATCCAAATATTTGAGGCAGTCAGGAAATTTAAACAAGGTTAAATGAAAACAGTAGTTAGCTTTGCTGCATAACAAATGACCCCAAAAAACTTAGTCTTTAATAATAATAACCATTTAATTCATGATTCTTTGGGTCAGCAGTGTGGTTTGGGCTAAACCAAGTGGCTTTTCTGGGCTTGGCTGGGCTAACTGATATGACTGATCAGCTGCCAGATTGACAGTGTGGCGGGTTGTTGGCTGGGGTCCTTGTACTCCTCCATGTTGTTCATCCTCTATCTAGCATGCTAACCCAGGCTTTTTCACTGTCACTCAGCAAGCTTCCAACAGAGCTAGTGGAAGTGTGCAAGGACTCTTGAAGTCCTGGTAAAACTGGCACACATTGCTTCTGTATCATCTGGTTGGCCAATGCAAGTCACAAGCCCAGCCCAGATACCAGAGTTAGGAAGAGACTCCACCTGTTAATGAAAGGAGCTGAAAAGTCACATCCTATAGGGGTTTGCATACAGGGAGAGGAATAATTTGTGGCCATTTGCAAATCTATTATACTGAACACTAGTTCTTATTTTGTAAACAGATAATATACTGACTGTTAAGGACATGAGTAGTATGTAAAGATCTTTTTTGTTGTTAGTACCATCGAATAGATTCCGACTTGGGGAGACCCTGTGTATAGCACAGCAGAACCCTGCCTGGCCTTTTTGCACCATCTTCTCAGCTCCCATGCTACTATTCACAGAGTTTCCATGACCAATTTCTTTGAAAGTGGGCAGCCAGGTCCTTCTTCCTAGTCTGTCCTAGTCTGGAAGCTCCACTGAAACCTGTCCACCATGGGTGACCCTGCTGGTATTTGAAATACTGGTGGCATAGCTTTCAGCACCCCAGCAACAGGCAGCCACCACAGTAGGACAGCCAACAGATGGTGATGTGGTTCCTTGATGGGGAAAGGAGCCTGGGGCATGGTGGGAGAGCACTGAATCTTAACCACCAGACCACCATGGCTAGCTAAAGATCTTTAGTGATAAAATTATAAGTGACCAACCAAATCATATTTAATTAATTATAAAGTTAATAAAAATTCTACTTTTATAATAGTTATTCAACATGGTAAGGCATGTCCACAATTGCTATTCTTTTTTAGACCTGGAAAACCTTAGTCATGCAAAGTTTAATGACCTGCTTCATTTTGGAAGAAAAGAAAGCAAATATAAGAATTCAACACCGGAGAAAAACGTCAAGCAGAGTCCACTTCACTGTAAATCTCTACCATTTATATCAAATTTCTGCCAGTTTGCTTTTACCTAGTCATGAAAAATTTTATTCATGGGAAAATTTACTTGACTTGAGTTTACATGCACAATGCTTGCACACACATACACAGACACACACACACATCCCTACACAAATTCTCCCCCTCAGAAGAGTAAATCTACTCTCTGCACCTCTTTGAACTCCAGCCAATTGAAAGTTTACATAGTTTTAGCATGGAAGTACTGTAGAATTTCTATCCAGTATCTTTTCTCAAGAAAGTGTAGAAAACTAAGTGGATATACACATGTAGAAAGTATGTTTGTATGTACAGATTTATACACGGTTAAAAATTCAGAACTTTAAAATGTAGAGTATATCTTGGAGATCACCTCTGATCTTAGTTTTATATAGATGAGAATACTGAGGTCCAGGAAATTAAGTGATTTAGTAAATCTCATGCTGGCAACTTCTGAATTCAAGGAAGAATTTCTTGAACTACCTGTAGTAGATGTGGTGGATTGGTGATTAACATCTGTCCTCTCCCTGAACTGTGGAGACTGGAAAACTAATGACTATACTTCCCAGACTCCCTCGGAGCGAGGGTCCTGGATGTGCTTTAGCGTCAACCAATCTGATGCTCTTGCCACTGTGAGGCCTAGGCTGTGCTTCTGCTGCAGTTTTGTTTTCCTCCACTGCTGAAAAGACAATGGTAGAGGCATTTGTTTTTACTGTGGGAGTATTAGCTAGGGTCCTACTGCCCAAAGCCCGCTCCAAGATGTCTTAAGACAAGGTGAGGACTGTTTGTAGCAGATGTGGCACAGTTCTGGAGCCTGCAGCAGTAATGACACTTCCTGTCCATGACAGGTTGCCCAACCCTCTTGGTTTCCTGATTGTAGAAGTTTCCTGATCTTGAAGTCTTATTAACTATGGAGGCAGAAGTGTGGTTCTGGGACTGGAGGAGCCCTGACTATGGAAGATTCAGCAGCTCCTTTAGTGCCTGTATTAGCCTGCTAGGCTCCCTAACCAAGTGCCACAAACCAAGGTAGCTTAAAACAACAAAAATTTATCCTTTCACAATTCTGGAGGTTAGAGGTCTGAAACGAAGTTATCAGTGGAGCCATGCCCTCTCTGAAGGCTCGAGGGGCAATCCTTCTTGCTTCTTGTAGTTTCTGTTGGTTGCCAGCAATTCTTGGCATTTCCTGGCTTGTAGATACATCATTCCAGTCTCTGCCTCCCAACTTCACATTTCCATCTTTCGTGTGTTTTCGGTTTTTTCTTCTTTTGAGGACACCAGTCATTGGATCAAGTCCCACGGTAGTCCGGTAGTACCTCATCTTAAATGGATTACATCTGCAAGATCCTGTTTCCAAATAAGATCCCATTTGCAGGTTTCAGGTAGACATGAATTGGAGGGGGGATGCTATTCAACCCAGTGCAATGTCCCAAGGCTGCAATGCAGTTCTGGGAATCTTCTCTCAAAATTCAACCCAGACTTTGTCTCTTTATCCCTCCCCCAAAATCTGAAAGTTTCTAAATATCCTGTAATAAATACTTTCCATTTTAACTAGCTAGAATGGATTCTATTCTTTGCAAGTGAACTCTGACAATACGTCTTTACACGTTTTTTCCTTAAGTGTTCAACTTACGATTTTCCTTTTTATCACAGGTGTTGGCAAAAGAAAATGCTTCCTAATTTGAAACCTAAACTTTCACGGCTAGTACTTTTGAAATCTCAAGAGTTTCTTTCTTTCTTTCTTTTTTTTTTTTTTTAGGAAGATTAGCCCTGAACTAACATCTGCTGCCAATGCTCCTCTTTTTGCCGAGGAAGACTGGCCCTGAGCTAACATCTGTGCCCATCTTCCTCTACTTTACATGTGGGACGCCTACTACAGCATGGCTTGCCAAGCAGTGCCATGTCCACACCCAGGATCCGAACCTGTGAACTGTGGGCTGCCAAAGCAGAACGTGGGCACTTAACTGCTGCGCCACTGGGCCGGCCCCTCATTTTTTTTTCTTTTTAGGGTTTTTTTTCCTGCTTTTTCTCCCCAAATCCCCACAGTACATAGTTGCATATTCTAGTTGTGGGTCCCTCTAGTTGTGGCATGTGGGAAATCACTTCAGCATGGCTTGATGGGTGGCACCAAGTCCGCGCACAGGATCCAAACCAGCGAAAGCCTGGGCCGCCAAAGCAGAGCGCGCGCACTTAATCAGTCGGCCACCGGGCCTGCCCCAAGAGTTTCATTTTTAATTGCTATTTCTGGGTCTATCAATAAAGCCCTAATTAGATACAGATGAGAGAAAGAGAACCAGCATTTATTGAGAGACTACTATATGCCAGAGACTTTATTAGTTAATTACACAGTACAATTTGTTATCTGAATTTAACAGAAAAAGAAACTGAGGCCCAGAAAAGAGAAATAACTTTAACAATATTTTGCAGCTAATAAGTGAGAGTCTAATAAATTAAACAATCATGTTCTTTCTATTTCTCTATTGTTCCTTGAAGTACTTCATTGGAGGGGAAGAGGATAGTTGAAGGATTTTAAGTATCCTGATTGATAGATTAACATGGTATAAATGATGTAATTATCCAGCAATGGAACCAATTTAAAATAAGAGCTTCTAAATCTAAGAGAGTATTGTTCCCTTCAAATAAGTCACATTGGGAGCTATGCACTGATTTCAAGTATTGCCCCAAGTATTTTGAATCTTTTCTGTTGGAATTGCCATTAGAACTGGAGTCACACTCTTGAATACCCTCAATGGTGAGTTTTCTTTTCTTTTTGGGTTGCTTTTTATCCTTTTAGAGTGACTGATTTTAAAGACCAGCCAAAAGTTGTTCAGAGCAAAGTGTAGTGAATAAAATGGAGGATCAAAGAATGATTTGTGCAGCACACAATCCCACAAATGTTTTAGAATTTGTGCATAATAAGCCTGCCTGACTGTTTGACCTTGTAGATTAATTCAGCATGGACAATACCATTTATATTGAGGAAATAATTAACATTGTCTTCATGTGTGAGTCGGGCAGGCATCCTTTTCTTAGATCTTTGGTTTCTTGGAGTTTTCCATTCAAGATTTTGGCATCTTTTTGCAGGTCATACGGGAAATACCAAGTTTCCTTGAGTTTCTATTGTCCTCAAAAACACATTACTTTGTCCAGCTTCTTTTGAAAGGTCAGAATAAATGTCAAGTCTTCTGTGTTTCAGTCCTTCATTCCCAAAGCCTGGCACAGTCTTTACAGCACCTTTGCTTTTGCTCAAATTTTTTTTTGGGATGAAGCTGTTTCATGGCTTTTAAACACAGGAAAAGATGCTCAGCATCCGTGCAAATGAGAGAAGCAAAATTAAAGCTATAGTCACACTTTTTTCACCTACCAGACGGGCAAAGATCGAGAAGTTTGATAACCATAGTATACTCCAAAAAGAGCCTTCATAAATTGTTAGTAGGAGTGTAAATTAGTACAGCCTCAAAGGTAACTAATTTGTCAATATCCTTCTAAATTGAAGATGCACATACCCTTTGATCGAGCAAACCTACTTCTAGGAGTTTTTTGATGGGTATACTTGGCCACATGCAATATCATACACGTACATATTATTCACTGAAACCGTGTTTATAACAGTGAAAGAGTCCATCCATAGAGGTCTGGTTAAATCAGTCATGTGGCACATCCATGCAACGGAATATTAATTAACTCTTAAGAATAATAATTACGGAATAGTCTATATCTTGCTTTTGGAGGTGGCTATACCTGTGTATTCAATTCTCAAAATGTATCAAATTGAATCTATGCATCTTAGTGAGTGCAAATTATACCTCAGTAAAAAAAGAAACATGAACAGCATAGAACTGGATTTAAAAAGAATAGTTAGGATTCCATGACAACTTTTCTAAGATTGGTTAAGTGAAAAAAAATGGGGCTATGGATCAGTATGGGTAGTACCATTAGGATAGAAAACTATATATGAATATACAGATGTTCCTCCACTTACGATGGGGTTACACCCTGATAAACCCATCATAAGTTGAAAATATTGTCAGTTGAAAAGGCATTTAATACGCTGGATGTACTGAACATCATAGCTTAGCCTAGCCTACCTTAAATGTGCTCAGAACACTTACGTTAGCCAACAGTTGGGCAAAATCATCTAATCCAAAGCCTATTTTATAATAAAATGTTGAATATCTCATTAATTTGTTGAATACTGTGCTGAAAGTGAAAAACAGAATGGTTGTATGGGCACAGAATGGTTGTCAGTGTATGGCTTGTCACCCTCCCGATCACATGGCTGACTGAGGGCTGTGGTTGGCTGCCGCCGCCCAGCATCAGGAGACAGCGTTGTACTGCACATCACTAGCCCGGGAAAAGATCAAAATCCAAAATTGAAGTACGATTTCTATTGAATGCATATTGTTTTCACACCATTGTAAATTCAAGAAACCGTAAGTTGAACCATTGTAAGTTGGGGACTGTCTGTAGTTGCATATGCATAGAGCATCTCTGGGAGGATGCACGAACTAGGTAACGATCGTTGCTTCTAGGAAAGACAACCACGTGGATAGAAGATAAGGGCAGGAGGGAGGGGTAGTCTTCAGACTATACCCCTTTTACCTGTATATTTTTATAACTTGTATATGTAATATGTATTCAAAAGAAAAGCAATTTTTTAAGAATGAAGCTCTTTCATAACCTAAATTTTATGTCATCAGCCACTATTCCCATGGTTACTTGCTTATTTGAAAGAACAAATCTCTAATTCTGTCCATAGATATATGAACCCTTTGGGTTACGGGCTGCTGCTCTTCACCTCACAATAAACATTCTGTTTTTTAAATTTATTTTATTTTTTTAATTGCAGTAACATTGGATTATAACATTATATAGCTTTCAGACGTACATCATAATATATTTCGAAGCCTGTGTAGATTACATCAGGTTCACCACCCAAAAACTAATTATAGTCCATCCCCTCACATGTGAGCCTAATCACCCCTTTTGCCCTCCCCTCCCCTTCCCCTATGGTAACCACCAATCCAATCTCCAATGCTATGTGTTTGTTTGTCATTGTTTTTATCTTCTACTTATGAGTGAGATCATACGGTATTTGACTTTCTCCCTCTGACTCATTTCACTCAGCATAATACCCTCAAGGACCATCCATGTTGTCACAAATGGCCAGATTTCATCATTTCTTATGGCTGAGTAATATTCCATTGTGTATAAAATACCACATCTTTATCCATTCGTCCCTTGATGGGCACCTAGGCTGCTTCCGAGTCGTGGCTCACAAAAACATTCTTGCTATCTCTTTAAAAATGTTTGTGCCAAGAAAAAATATTTTATTGACATGATGTTACCTCCATAAACTCTTCCTTTTAGAACGGTGAGTATCTCACTTGCTGAATTAAATCCATACAATATCTGTGGGAAACACAAAATGGGCCATGCATTTTCATGAGAAAGGAAAAAAGAATGCCCTTTCTTTATGCACACAGCTAGTTAAGGCAGCGACCCACCTGCTTTTACAGCTCAGCCACCGGAACACAAAACAGTAAGTGTGTTATGATTCTCAAGATTCAAATAATGTGTGCATTGTGACTTGAACATAACACAAAAAAAATTGTCATTTTTTTCAAACTTTTATGTTTTAGTGAAATTTTTAAAGATTTAAACTAATAAAAATGAAAAAATTATTGAGTTATCTATTGAAATATGTATCAGATTTCTATAGTATTACTTAGCCTTTTCTGATCTCTTGAATTGCTTGTATATACAACTATCCTCCGTATTTGAGGAACAATTGATTTGAAGATTATTCACCACTTGACTGAATTAACTGCTCCATTTAGTTAATGAATCATGAAATACTATCATATAGCTTTTACTTGATTTGGAGACCAAACTAATAAATTATTTACATTGATTATTCAAACTAACATTTACTTTAGCATTTTTAAAACACAGGTTAACAATGGTCATTGTTCACAGAGTATTATTGAGGGTGCATAAAAGTAGTTTTGGAACTAATATTTATAATATTTGGATGGAAGAATAGAGGCACATATGGAATAATTGTCTCCAAACTGAAAATTGCCAAAAATTATTGCCTTAAGAAGGAATACTGCATTTTTGGTGATTGTTTCCCGGCTTTCTACAGCTATACCTTCTGGCTTTAAATGGCATTAAACTGCACAGCACATCAGTAGTCATTTTTAATTAAAATTAAATTGTAATTTAACAATAAAATTTTATTTAAAAGTTTTAATGCAATAATGGCAAATATGCCTTTGTCAAGAGATAGAGGGATGTAGTGCAGAGTTTAAGTTTCAGATTTTGAGCTGAACAGAGCAGATTTGAACCCTGGCTTTGCTACAGATAAACTGAGATTAGGGTTCAGTTTAAGTGACTTACCCACTGTGACCTGCAGTTTCCCCACCTATAAAAATGCAGATAATGTGATCTAAATCATCAGGTTTTAGGTGAAGATCAATTGAGACAATGTATCTAAGATACTTAGTACAAAGTCCCCATAAACTAAAGTTATTGTTATTTTTGTAAAAGAAAATGCTTTGAATTATAGATATTCCTAAAAATTATCCTAAAGCCGTATGTTATGATCAAACATTATTTTTGTTATGAGGGTTAAAATTTCATTCATTCACTCAGTGATTCATTCACATGTGGGGTTCTGAAAGAGATAGCCACACTGATATCTCCTTCATATCAAAGGGAAAAAATATCTTTAAATCAAGAAACAAGCTTAATTTTTATGGAAAAACCTGATTCATTTATGGTAATAACATTCTTTCAAGACTTACCTTTATTGAACCCTTCACATTTTAATACTGTCTGGTCTAAATTGTCTTAAATGTCCCTTCCTCTCCAATCTGCTCTTCTCTCCCAGCTTCAGGGGTCCTTCCACCAAACCCAGGCCGTCAGAGAACAGTTAAGATAGGACCCTGCAGCCTAATAACTTGAATGTTCTAGTTCTGGAGTCTTTGAGGCAAACTGCAATCTTACTCACATGACCAACCTCCCTATCCCCAAGGGACAAATTATTTGTTTACGTGTCTGTCTCCCCCATTAGATGTTAAGCTCCTCTGAGAGGAGGGACGTGTCTCATTCATCTTTTCATCATTCCACAGTCCCAAGCAGAAAGCTTGCATGTGGTAGGTTCATAATTTATTCCTTTAAAGCAATGTACTGAATATTATATTATTCTAACCATTTCGATGAAAATATTTTTAAAAAGTTACTATTTCAATAGTTCTTATTTCAAAAAGACTTAGTCCTTTTTCATTGGCATTTTGCTCTAATTGTCATTTGTTATCTCTCATTCAGGAAAGCCACCAGTGACCACAGAGCCTTTTAAAGTTGTCACCTTGCTGGGAGCCCCCTGACTCGAGTGCTTTTCTGGTTGTTGTGGCTTCCCTGTGTCACAGTGATGTTCTCAGGGCTGTTGCAGTTATTTTTAACTCTGGCTGCACGTCAGAATCATCCAGATGCCCAGTTTCTACATTCAGGCTGTGGTTTAGTAGAATATAGGTGACACCCAGGCGTGAGGAGTTTTAATAAGCTGCGCAGGTGATTCAGATGCCCAACCAGGCTGAAAACCACCTGCATCAGCCTGCCGTCCTCTGGGGCGCCCCCCGTGCTCTTCTCCCTGGTCTCACATGAGCGTGGGCTCTGTGCCTTTTGGAACCCGCTATGCAAAGCCTGCAAAATGGTGCTCTACTGCTCTGATGTGGACTAAAAATGTTTGGCCTGCACAGTATTATTGTTTTACAATTGTGAAATATTTCAAACATACAGAAGAGTAGGGACAATAACGTAATAAAAACTCATGGACCTAACATCCTGTCTAACAAATCTTATTTTGCTATATTTATTACAGATTTTTATTAAAGTAATAAAACATTACAGATGCCATAGAAGGCCTGTGCGTGCCTTTCCCCTGCCTGTAATCTCCAAGGGTAACGACTACCCTGAATTTGGAGTTTATCATTCCAGCTCATGTTTCACTAAATATGTATTTATTCAAAGACTATGTTTAGTGTTTTCTTGTTTTTAAACATTGTGTATACGGTATCAGATTCTGTGCAGTATTTTATAAAGTTGGGACAATATTTAAAAAACTGAAAAATTTCACATAAAATCAGATTTGTTGGCTTCTCTTGAAACAACCAGAAGATCTGGCAGCATTGGGCTGGCTTTCTGGCATGACAGGCTGCCACGCTGGGCCAGCGCCGTTCTGTGTGACATGGTCCCAATGCTCACACTGGGGAGACATATGCGCTTGCACCTGGACTGTGTCTCCTTTGATGGCGGGTCTGGCCCCTGATACTCAGCTTCCTCCCGTTATAATTCTTTTCTTTCTTCAAGGCCATTTCTGTTGTCCTCTCTTAACTGCTTAAAATCGAAAGTATCTACCTCTCTCAATGTAGCTCTAGCCGCCTCTAATTTCCACTTCTCCTGCTCTCTCCTCTCTTTTGTCTGGTACGCATTTTAATTTTCTTGCCATTTCCCACCATTGCTCTTAGGATTTTTGACTTTAGCACCAAAAAAGCACGGGGTCTGCTTTTTTGTAGACGTTGCCGGCGAATAGTAAAAGAAGTTATTTATTTTGATCGGCAAACTGACCCGTCATATTACATCTCTGTGACCTCATTTTGGCTATTCTTCCTATTTTAAGTGTTGTTTACATGATTTGGTAATTTTTGGGGCATCTGGGGTGACGGAAGATTGGATAAAGTGGAGTTTTATGGGTTATACAATTCTTTAGGGCTGAGACAGTTTTGTCTTTTATTTCCTGTAGCACATGGCAAAGCGCTGTGGAAATTATAGTCCCTAAAAATGTATTTATTGAATGATAGAATATTAATAAGTTAAATTATAAGTGTTTTATTACATACCTCTTTTGACAAGTCAGGGCAGCTCCTGGCCCACCTTTGTGTTTCAGAATACATGTAACCCAAGGTGCCTCCCCTGATAAAGATCTGAGCTGGCAGGGAGGCTGAGAGGCAGAGATGGAAGAGTGCTTAGGGTTTGTGAGTAGTTTTGGTGGCAGGATTTTTTAATAACGAGGAGGCGAGAGGCTTTGAGACAACTTTGGTATTTGGAAAAATCTGAAGGTGAGAGGGATGAACAAAATATTTTCAGAAAGTGCTGTTTTGTTTAATGAATGGGATTTCTATTTGAGATTCTTCAATGGAGACAGCACTAAAGAATCAAATTGCTTTTAATTACATTTTTATGTAACTTGTGTTTATTTTTTCCACACACCATTCTGCCGGGGACAGGACTATCAGGTTTTAGACAGATTACATCATAAAAGAAATATGTATGCTGCACAGATTTACTGTAGTGCCTTTGGATGTTTTAGCAAAGGGAGAGCCTTGCTAAGTACAGAGGTCTTCCCCTATGGGTGCAGAGAGCAGGGCTTCTGGCGAGACTTCTTTCTATTAGGACCCTAATCATGGTCAGAAACCTGGGAGATTAATGAAGAGGCCTTAACTGTCACCAGAGCAATTTGTCTATAATATAAAATGCAATAGAAAGTCCATTTCAAGAGCTGGTTGGGAAATAAATGAAAACACACGTCCGGAACTTATAATTCATATAAATTTAATTCCTTAAATCACATGTGATGAATTTAAAAAGCGTGTCTTTGCAATAATTTAGCTTAAAATAGATGTAAGCCTCTGTTTCCATTTATGGTTGGGAAATAGGCACGAATGACACCTTAACACTAAATTGTGTTAAACCTAATAAAATCAAATCACACCAGCTCTGGACTTTGGATAAAAGATAGCATCAGCTATGTCAGTGGAAAGCATATGACATCTCTGTCAGTACACTAAGTGTAAGATGGCTTGGTCTTCAGAGTTGGAAAGGTTCATGTGGTCTCAAATGCATTTTTCAGATGGACGTTTGACATCTCTGCCGAGAATTCATTCAGATATTTACTCTGCAGTTTTTTTCATTTAAAATAATATTAAAAATAAGGTGTAGTGTAAAGTCCGGGGCTTTGATAGAGTGGTGGCTCCAAAGCAGTGGCTAATTTCCATTAGTGCTTATTGCTAAAGTTGGTCCAAATAAAATGCAGTTGGCTAAAGAACTAGTCCCGTAATCCCACTGCATCAGCTCCTTAGGGCAGCTGTAACAAAGTACCACAGACTGAGTGGCTTAAAACAACAGGAATTTATTTTTTCACAGTCTGGAGGCTAGAAGTCCAAAATCAAGTGTTGGCAGGATTGGTTCCTACTGGAAGTTCTGAGGGAGCGTCTGTTCCATGCCTCTCTCTTTGCTTCTGGTTGTCGCCAGCAATCTTTGGAATTCCCTGACTTGTAAACACATCACTCCAATCTCTGCCTCCTTTCTCACATGGCATTCTCCCTGTGTGTATCTGTGTCTCTGAGTCC